GTTCAGAGATGACTGGACTTTGAAGAAAAGATGAAAGTAAGCTGCCCCAATTGACTGGACTTCGGATCACTTTGGTAGAACGTGGTGTTTGAGGAATGACTCAATTGCGGGCATGAGATGCAGTGAAGCGTGGACGTGACGGCTAAGGTTCAAGTCAAGTGAGGGATGCTGTAACTGGCGCAGATGGTGTGGATGCAGACCGGACGGAGAGTCTGCTATAAGAGGAAGGCTGCCGGGGTCTTGAAATGTCTCTTGACGTTGAGTATCTCTAAGAAGTTGGGTTATGCGGGAATGCGTTTGGATGCCAGTGCTTCCGCTAAGATGGACTTCAGTGGAGTGCGTTTGTTGCCACTGTGGGCGTGTTGGTGAAATGAGAAGTGGTGACGAGATTGAATGACGAGGAGGTTGTGTCGTGCTTGTTGTGACGGTGGCTGAGTTCTTCGAAGCAAGCCTGTAACCCGAGAGAGGGCTATGCTGTTAGTAGTAGAGTTTCGGGGACCATTTTCCTGCAATTAGTCTTCTTTGTAGAACCCCCAAAAACCTGCAGAATATGTGGCGGCAGTGTACGATTGGTATCTTGGGGTGTCGCGGTTGTTTGTGAAAAGTTGGTGAAGGTTGAGCCAAAGTGAGGAGGAATTGGTGATCGAATGCTGATTGCATGGGCTTTCAATCCAGATTAATGTGTGAGATGGATTGTGTCAAGAGTGAATCCTAGAAATCTAGGGTCTTGGGAAGACCTGCTGTTTCTATGCAGACCTTGGAACCCAGAGGTTGGAGAAACCAGCGAGCTTGGAGCGGCGGCAATGGGTTAGAATGAGACCGGGAACCGCTTGGGAGGCATGTTAGGGTTGCGTGGTCGAGTGGGCCCTGGTTACACCACTGAAGCAAGCTGTGGCTTGGGAGCAGTGTGGATTTTTGGTGAACCTGTGCCTCTGACTTGGGGACCGAATCTAGGATAATGGCCATGTAATCGTTTTAGTGAATGGAGAAGGTGGATGCAACTTTTCGGAGTGAGTTCCCTCAACCGGGTGGATGTTCTCCCTTTCAGGTAGATGTGCCCTTCGAGGGATCTTTTAGTTGGCGGTTGGTGAGGAAAAGGCATGATGGGAAGAACGAGATATCGTGTAGTTTACAATGTGTTTGAGTAAACTAGTGAGCTGAAGAACGGGAGATGAAGAATTAGGATTAGCTGATGGCAGCATAATGGGTTAAGAGGAAAGACCGAAATTAGAATTGGAAATAACTGGCTACGGAGGAACACTGGGTGCCAGTGCTGGAGCTTCTGGCTGTAGTTGCTGGACTGGTAAGATGAGATGCTGGGGATCCTGGCATCCTGGTGCCAGAATCCCGGACTGGAGCGACCTGCAGAGATTGGTGGATGTGGGCTGCGAGGTGTTTTTGCATCCCGGTGCCTAATGACCCGACTAAGCTAGCCCGAAACTGTTTCCAACCACGAATTGGATGGTTCTATGTAACGAACTGACTGATGTAGTCAGATTGGTGATGACTGGGAGTGAGCGGCATCCCAGTGCCAGAATCCCAGACTGGGGCGACCTGCAGAGATTGGTGGATGTGGGCTTCAAGGGGTTTTTGAATCCTGGTGCCTAATGACCCGACTAAGCTAGCCCAAAACTGTTTCCAACCACGAATTGGATGGTTCTATGTAACGAACTGACTGATGCAGTCAGATTGGTGTTGATTGGGAGTGAGCGGCATCCCGGTGCCAGAGCCCTTTAATTTGAAACGATCGCTTGTTCAAAACAACTTTAGTTTAAATTGTGGTTGGTTTGGAATGACTTGCTTTGAAACGACTGTTCGATCGAAACGACTATCTGTTGAGACAACATTGGCTCTGAACGACATGGTTTAAATGAATGGAAACGACTGTTAGCTGGATGTTAGCTTGAAACGATTGTTCGCTAGAAACGCTGTAGACTCAAAACTATTGTTATCTGGAGACGAATGTTAGCTCGATATGAATATTAGCTCAAAACTAGTTTTGCTCGAAAGCTAGGAAACAACTGTTAGCTTGAAAGACTTAAGAAGAAACGAATGTTTACTTGAAAACGACTATAGCTTTAACCAAATTAGCTAGAAGATGACTGCTCGGACTGACTTAGTTGGAAAATGGCTAAGCTAGGAAATGAGTGGGGCTCAAGACGGTTGTTAGCTCGACACAACTATGGCTTGAAACGACTGTTTGCTCAAAGTGACTTAGCTAGATACGACTGTTTGCTTTAAATGATGTGGTTAGATAACAACTTAGCTAGGTAATGACTCTTTACTTGAAACGACTGTTAGCTCAACGCGGCTGTTAGCTCGCTTGAAGTATGCGCGCCGTGGCTGTATGCTCGCTCAAAGTAAGCATGACGCGGCTATATGCTCGCTCAAAATAAGCGCGACGTGGCTGTTAGCTCAAAGTAAGCGCGACGCGGCTGTATGCTTGCTCGAAGTAAGCGCGAAACAGCTGTATGCTTGCTCGAAGTAAGCGCGAAATGGCTGTTAGCTCGAAGTAAGCGTGAAACGGCTGTTAGCTCGAAGTAAGCGTGAAATGGCTGTTAGCTAGCTCGAAGTTAGCGCAAAACAGGTGTTAGCTAGCTCGAAGTAAGCGCAAAACAGCTGTTAGCTCAAAGTTAGTTTGTAATGGCTTGTAGCTCGAAATTAGCTTGAAACGACTGTTAGTTAGCTTGAAGTTAGCTCAAAACAGCTGTTAGCTTGAAATGACTTCGCTTGTAATGATTAAGACCTCGAAACACAAGATTAGCGAAAAATGGCATGAAGTTCCTATCCTTTGAAACGGTTTGACTTTTCGGATGGTTCTGTGTAATGGACCATTTGTGCCCTTACTGAGGCTGCTGAGGTTGTTCGAAATGTACGACTGGGCGCTAGCATCTCGGTGCTGGGGCCCCTAATGGAACTGGCTGCCGTAGCTGCTGGACGTGTCCAGCTGTGGCGCTGGTGTCCCAGTGCCGAAGGCCCCTAATGAAGCCTGCTGCTGTGGTTGGTAGATGTAGACGGCTGGGGTGCTGGCATATCCCAGTGCTGGGTACCTGAAGCTTTGGGAGCTGGATGGCAAGGTGCTGACGACTCGATGTGGTTGTCCTGTGTGATGTAGGCTGCTGGAGAGGTGGAGGCTTGGAATTCTGGTGTTGGTTGACGTCCTGTTTTGCTGTGGTACCGATTTCTCTGCTATCTTGAGATGGAGGTAATAGGCGAACTGTCCCTTTAACAGTGGCGCTGACATCACGGCGTGCGTAATGTGCCACCTGGAAAGGAGCTGGTGTTGACAGAACTGAATGCATGGCACTCTGACATGATAGCTTGAAAAGTTTGCTGTATTGTCTGTTCTCTAAATCGGAATTGTTACATTTATAACCTTTTTCTGAAGAGTGGCTATAGTTCGTCTCTTGATTGTTCATGAAGACTGTGTGACCCGGGCGTGGAAACGCTGTGATCAGCTGTTTGATGAGAGGCAGGGGATTCTTTGGGTGCAATGTTTCTGATTGTTGAGGAAAGTGGAACGTGGAAGGCGGATGGCGTTAAGGCTGGACTCACCCACTCCCTGGCCGACTCTAGGATTGTAGAGAGCGGGGTCTCAAACGTGGAGACGGAGGAGAAAATTCGGCTTATGGTGCTGGGTCTACTGACGTGAACATGGCAGATGTCTCTAGTCCGTCCGAATAATTCAGCGTCCGATGGGGATAGCGACGTGCCGACACTTCTCGAAGAGGTAAGTGGATGGAAGTAGCTGGTAATAATTCTACGCGATGTTACTTGGTCTCGGTTCGTCTGCGGAATGCGAGGGCCATGCAGGATACGAGGGCGAAGGGGAGGACTTAGGACGTGTGGGTATTTATGGAAATGCTGTCGATGACGAGCTTGATGTGTGGTGCCGCTCCTGAAACTCTGCTAATTAGTACCACTACACCTAACACATTCTCGTTCCTAATGCCCTGCACGCCTTACAGACTCTATCAGGAGTCATTAGAAAAGTTGTCACATAAGTGCCAGTAGTAAGATTTAATGCAAGATCTCAGTTAGAAGTTAGGTCCCCATTCAGCAGGTACAGCAACGAAGGATTCCAGCCAATCTGGTTTCCCTGAACCTGGATGAGCATGCCTGTTCAAATCTGTTTCTACTACTGTTGTGCAATTACTTCTGATGTGTAGTCTTGGCAATGCATTTTATCACAACCTCCTGTTTGTCAGCCATGCTTCCACGCAACAATCAGCAACCATTCAACAGACTAGCTTAATCCTGTCAAGGAGCAAGTCTGATTAACCATTAACCACCTGTTACTTCTGCTCTCCCTCTCTTCCCTTTCACCTTTCAGGTTTTCCCTTTTGGTTATTCAATGTTAACATTGATGACAAGGAGCAACAAAGGACGGTGTATGGATTAATCAAATGTCTGCTTGCAATGTGAATGATTGTGTGTATTGATGTGTAAAAATAGGTCTAGAGTAGTTAGTAGTCTGCCTAGACATAGCCTCAATAGGTCTGCCCGACACTACAGCCTCTATGCCCTATGAACTGTACATACTGTTGAACTCTTCTTTGTTCCCAACACATGGACTGAGTAACCCTCAGGTTACTTTTAGACTCATGGACTGTTCGGTCTTTTGACTTGCTCTGAAGACTGCTGCATGCACCCCACTCTTCACACGTAAGGAGGGGATGTTGGGCCTCACAGTCTGGTAGAACAAAGACTGGGCCTTCTGATGTCCTACAAGCCAGACCCCAGCCTGTTGGAATCCCCAAAGCTGCCTATGCGGCTTGACTACACAAAGGGGGTCAGAGAACAATAGAAAGCCCAGATGGCCCTGGTCAGTTAAATCACACCTACCTATGAACTCTTAACTTTTATAACCAAACCAAAGGTTTGTATTGGCTAAAGCTTTCAGGGGGCGGAGTAATCCCAGGAAGCACAGCCATTTTGTCAACGGAGGTATAAAACACCTACGAACCCTCATTGCCATTCCCAGTTCTCAAAAGGACTGTAAGGTGGTAAACAAACACTGCCTTTCTGCAACTGCACCAGCAGCCACAGGAGGTATTTTCTTTCAGCGCTGAACTTTCTTTGTTCCTGAATACAGACTTCACTTGCCGGACGAGCAACTCTGTTTTCTTCTTTCTTTTTACCTCTATTATTTTTTTTTGTGTTACCAACACAATTTGGATCCCTAAAGAAACTGTTATACACAAGATAACGTTTCGTGCCTGCAGAACAAGACGCATAAACTCCGTGCTTAACTGAGAGAAGATCACCTCCGTGTTATACCTTCTCAACCAACGTCGACTTCACTGATTACTGTTGCTCCCGCCAAAGAATCAGCCGTGCCCTTGAACCTACCGGCATCGTCAGAACCAAGCCGAGAGAAACTCCGCTGGATTTCCCAAAAGGACTCCCGCATCTACTCGCTATCAAAGCGACACGTAAGAGGCTTTAGTATGTCTGGGCAGCAGATAGTTCTTTAACCTTGTTATTGTAACTTGTACAAGCTTCATGCGGTGAGTTTCTGTTAAGAAACTCCGAGGGATATTTAAAGACCGCCGTGTCTTGTTTAATTGCTGTGTGTTTTCCGTGCTACGCACGTTGTTGTGTCCGGTACCACCCGCTGGGCCGTGACTGCTTTGTTCCTATTACTGTGTGAAAACGGATCAGTATTGTTATCAAGCCAAGGAACACGGTTGCTGAAGTTCACTACCGTCCCTTTCATTGATGAAGTTGTAGCTGAGTGTTTGGAACAGTAATTAGGATTTTTGGTGTTTGTTTCTGTTGTCTGAGAACAGATACAATTGCACATTCTATCTAATCCAATGCCAGCAACCACTGCTGAATGAATCATTCACTGCTGGTGGCTGTAAGATATGGTGATGGTTTGTGGTATATTGTATGTATATAGCTTTGCTCTGTGCCTTTCTCTCCTCCTTCTGCTTGCTAACCACACATGCACACACCACGTGATCTCTGAAGTTAACCAGACCTGTGACTCACAGTAGGCTAGCATCAGAGTGTGTCCCCATTTTTTTTTAGTTCAGGGGAGAGTGATTTTCTGCCATCTTGATCTTGAAATGACATGGTTTGAACCGCCGTCTCGAATCAAAAATCAGCTGGCCTCTAGCACAACCGGATCTGGCACCACCCACATGGTCGGATCCATTCCCCTCCTTTGTCTCTCACACACACCCACACACTCTCACACACACTCACACAAACACACACACACAAATACACACACACACACACACATGGTTGCTGTATTGTTGTATGTTTTTGTTATATTTTTTGTTTGATTTGTTTATTGACTTTATTTCATTTTTGCTTACAATAGTTAATAGTGATTACTTGCTAATGTTATTGATCATTGATCTATGCTTGAGTTGAATAAATCCTATTATAATTTTAAGAAGTCGTTGCCTGTGATTATTTGTGTATAATGTTGTAGTAAGAGTTGGTTGCCACGGCCTGTGTACGGATTCACCCTTCTGTGTTTGCCATCTATAGGTGGACAAACCCCATTTTAGACTGATCATACTTGGCTCATATTTGGTTATTGGTCCCTGATCCCAGGGTGGTGCCCCGTATTTATTCATTATAATTAATAATTTTCTTAATTTGTTTCAGGTGAGATGTCCTCCCAAGTCAGACTGAGGCTGCTGCCGAGCGCCAGGTGTTTGTTTGACGAGCCCGTTCAGGTGAAGGTGGCCGGGCTGAGGTCGAGACAGGTGGTCTCCATGAAAGCCAGATCAACTGACGAGAAAGGAGTGGTGTTCAGCTCCTCAGCCACCTACAGGGCTGATGGGAGCGGGGAGATTGACCTGAAGAGAGACCCCTCGCTCAGTGGCAGCTACGTCGGGGTTGAACCCATGGGTCTACTGTGGTCGATGAGGGCTGACACTTTGCACAGAAGGTTTCAAAAAACAAATGCACTAAACCCCCACGTGGTGAAGGTCTCTGTGCACGAGGAGGAAGGGGAGGAAAGGATGCTGGCAGAGGCGACCAACGAGAGGCTTCTGATTGGAGACGGGGTCAGCCGGCTCCCTGTCAAAGAGGGGAATATCCGCGGAGTCCTGTTTACTCCCCCAGGTAGGAGATTCATCATAGTTTAATTACAACCTAATAGTGTTTTTATTATGAATATATAACAACTGTTAATTTACTTGGCCATAGCAATAGCTACAAGCAGCCATTTTGACTTGTCATAGCATGAAAAGCACAAGTGTTACTAATAACATTAACAATGGCTCCGATACCTTTAGATGTCCCAGTAGGCCCAGACAGTGAGCCAGCATGCATAATACCAGGACCCTGAAACCAGTTATGATAAATGTAATGCAGCCATCATTAGTTATTTATATCCATATCCATAGATTAATCAGTTATGAAAATAAATAATGATTGCAGCCCTATTACTTGTTTATGTAATGACGCTTAGAAATTTTACAAAAGTTCAGTGACTCTGCATCAAAAGGATGCACAGTATGTAAGATGTAGGATTTTATATAATATATTGTTGATATGTTCAATTCAATTTTATTTATATAGCGCCAAATCACAACAACAGTTATCTCAGAGCGCTTTTCATAAAAGAGCAGGTCTAGACCATACTCTGTGATGTTATTTACAGAAGCCCAACAATTCCCACCAAGAGCAAGCACTAGGCGACAGAGAAGAGGAAAAACTTCCTTTTAAGAGGCAGAAACCTTGAGCAGAACCATGGGTCAGGGTGGGCGGCCATCTGCCTTGACCGGTTTGGGGTGAAGGAGAGAGAGAGAGAAAGAGAGAGAGAGGGAAAGGGAGAGGGAGAGAGTGCAAGAGAGGAACAGAGAGAAAGAGAGAGAGGCATGGAAGGAGAGAGAGAGGGGAGGAAGGCAGCCTACACAGTATTCACACAGAGGTACAGACAGTAAAGGTGATGTTGCTATGGACTAAATGAATAATGGTACAGATATTTACAGCAGTGTTAATGATGATAATCGTAATGTTAATGATTATAATAATAATAATAATAATAGGACTAGTAACAATAATTGTAGTAGAGGGTGTCGAGCAGGAACACGGGGGAAACAGGTGACTCGCAACCACAGATCCAGACTCCACAGCTCCAGAGCCAGAAACACCTGCAGGAAGTGATAGGAGGAGAGAGGAGAGGGACGAGAAAGCACAAGACTACAGGAAAGGGGAGAAGTCGAGTTAGTAACATGCATTAATGGGATGAGGTTGCATACAGGGGGAGAGAAAGTGGAGGAGGGAGGACCTGAGTGCATCACGGGAAGTCCCCCGGCAGTCTAGGCCTATAGCAGCATAACTAAGGGATGGTTCAGGACTCACCTGAGCCAGTCCTAACTATAAGCTTTGTCAAAGACGAAAGTCTTAAGCCTAGTCTTAAATGTGGAGATGGTGTCTGCCTCCTGAACCCTAACTGGAACCTGGTTCCACAGGAGAGGAGCTTGATAGCTGAACGCTCTGGCTCCCATTCTACTTTTGGAGACTCTAGGAACCACAAGTAGCCCTGCATTCTGGGAGCGCAGTGCTCTGGTGCGATAGTAAGGTACTATGAGCTCTTTAAGATAAGATGGTGCCTGACCATTAAGAGCTTTGTAGGTAGAAGAATGATTTTAAATTCTATTCTGGATTTTACTGGAAGCCAATGCAGAGAAGCTAAGACAGGAGAAATGTGATCTCTTTTCCTGGTTCCTGTCAGAACACGTACTGCAGCATTTTGGATCAGCTGAAGAGTCTTAATGGACTTTTTCGAGCAGCCTGAGAATAAGGAATTGCAGTAATCCAGCCTAGAAGTAACAAATGCATGGACTAGTTTTTCTGCATCATTTTTAGACAGGATATTCCTGATTTTCGCAATATTACGTAGGTGAAAAAGGCGGTCCTTGAAATTTGCTTAATGTGAGACTTAAATGACATGTCCTGATCAAAGATAACTCCAAGATTCCCCACAGTGGTGCTGGAGGCCAGGGCGATGCCATCAAGGGAAACAATATCTTTAGATAATGTGTCACGGAGGTGCTTGGGCCCCAGAACAATAACTTCAGTTTTATCTGAGTTTAACATTAGAAAATTACAGGTCATTCAGGTTTTAACATCCTGAAGGCACATTTGAAGTTTAGCTAACTGATTAGTTTCATCTGGCTTGATCGATAGATATAACTGAGTATCATCTGCGTAACAATGAAAGTTTATGTACTATTTCCTGATAATATTGCCTAAAGGAAGTATATATAAAGTGAACAGGATTGGTCCGAGGACAGATCCTTGTGGAACTCCATGACTAACTTTGGCATGCATGGAGGACTCATCGATAACATGTACAAACTGAAATCGATCTGATAAATAGGACTTAAACCAGATTAGAGCAGTTCCTTTAATGCCAATGAAATGATCCAGTCTCTGTAATAGGTTCTGATGGTCAATGGTATCAAATCGAGCACTAAGATCTAATAAAACCAGTACAGAGACAAGTCCTTTGTCTAATGCAATTAGGAGGTCATTAGTGATTTTCACCAGTGCTGTCTCTGTGCTATGATGAGCTCTAAATCCAGACTGAAAATCCTCAAATAAACTATTGCTCTGTAGAAAGTCACACTGCTGTTTAGCAACTGCTTTTTCCAGGATCTTAGAGAGAAATGGAATGTTAGATATAGGTCTATAGTTGGGTAAAACATCTGGATCAAGGTTGGGCTTTTTCAGAAGAGGTTTAATTACAGCTACTTTAAAGTACTGTGGTACATAGCCTGTTGATAAAGATAGATTGATCATATCTAGTATAGAAGTGCTGACTAGGGGTAAAACTTCTTTAAGCAGCCTAGTCGGGATGGGGTCTAAGAGGCAGGTTGCTGGTTTAGATGAAAAAATTATTGAAGTTAAGTCAGTGCCAGTTGAGGGGAGGTGTTGGTGAATTTTGTTTCTAATAGTTAGAATTTTATCATTAAAGAAGCTCATGAAGTCGTAACTACTGAGAGCTATGGGAATACTTGGCTCAATAGAGCTGTGACTCTCTGTCAGCCTGGCTACAGTGCTGAAAAGAAACCTGGGGTTGTTCCTATTTTCCTCTATCAATACGGAGTAGTACGCTGCTCTGGCATTATGGAGGGCCTTCCTATAAGTTTTAAGACTATCTTGCCAAATTAATTAATTAATTTGCGAGTTTCAGTATTATACCATGGAGCTAACTGTCTTTGCTTTAGTATTTTCTTTTTTAGAGGGGCTACAGAGTCGAGTGTCATTCGCAGTGAGCCTGCAGCACTATCAACATGATGATCGATTTGGGAGGGACTGAAATTAGCATAGGAGTCCTCCGTTACTTTGTGATCTGATAATGAATTTAGAGCTGATGGAATCGCATCCTTAAATTTAGCTATAGCACTATTAGACAGACATCTTGTATAAAAGATGTACCTGTGTATGTTTCAGGAGAAGGTCAGTTTCCCGCTGTGTTGGATCTGAACAGCTTTAAGTCTGAGACAAGAGCCTCTCTGCTGGCAAACAAAGGGTTTGTGGTTCTGAATGTAGCAGTGTTCTCTGATAAGCCTGACAACGTGAAAGAGCTCCATCTGGACCACTTTAAAGAAGCAGTGGATTTCTTACTACAACATTCTAAGGTGAGTTTTTTGAGTAACTTTTAAGCCCAGTGGCATAAAGTCACAACCCTTTGACTCTCCTATTAATTACTTCCATTTTCCAAAACTGAAAACAGGGTAAGCCTGGCCTATTCTGCAAAATAAATCGGTTTAACAGTTTCATACTGCATACTACTATGAAACGCAGTATGTAGTATACTGCGTCATGGTGGTATGTAGTAGGCATTTACGAATGTTTACGAATTGTCTGTCTGCTATATGAGCAAAGCTGCTGGGTCTGATCATCCCCGTGTACTAAACACATGAGTCAGTAATGACATCAGCTAGCTTAAGGGATAGGATTCCCACCTGCTTCAAGACAGCCACCATCGTCCCTGTACCTAAAAGTTTGCAGTGTCTAGTCTTAATTACTACCGCCTTGTGGCACTCACCCCCATTCTGATTAAGTGCTTTGAGAAACTGGTTCTCCAGCCCATACAGAACAACAGTTAGCACTGCACCATGTAAAATGGTTTTACTTCTGTCACTTGTTATTTATCCACCCATCTAGGGTATATCATTTTTATGTTTGTATATAACATTTGCCCTTTTAGCCCAGTTCCTGAGCTCTGTGTGTTTATACAGACTACCTCTAATTTGCATTTATTTTCTTCCCAGGTGGGCAGTAAAGGAGTTGGTGTAATATCACGATCTAAGGGGGCAGATATTGCGCTTTCACTTGCTGCTTATGTACCAGGTGTTGTGGCCACAGTGTGGATCAATGGCTGCAGCGCCAATACGGTCATTCCTCTTTACTACAGAAAACGCCAAATCCTCTCACCAATACTGTGTGACTTCAGCAAGTTGATTCCTGTTGAGTCAGGGGCCTTCTTTATCAAGGATGGTGTTACAAATCCCCTGGCAGAGGAAAACAAGGGAAGCCTGATCCCAATTGAGCAAGCCAAGGGACGTTTCCTGTTTGTGGCTTCAGAGGATGACCTCAACTGGGACAGTAAAGGTTACATGGAGGAGATGGTGGAGAGACTGAAGCGTCATGGGAAGGACAACTTCGAGAGTGTGTGTTACCCGAGAGCTGGACACCTACTGGAGCCGCCTTATGGGCCCTACTGCCCCTCTAGTGTTCATGGGTTTGTACTCAAGCCAGTCATATGGGGGGGTGAGCCCAGCTCCCACGCAGCAGCTGAAATCCACCTGTGGAAGAAGATCCAGGAGTTCTTCAGAACCCACCTGAGCTGTGATGCCACGCAGACTAAAGCCAAGTTATAGATGCAAATAGGTTAATATAAAAGAACAAATAAGAAAATCATGAAATCAAGGCTGGCAGTTAACCTGATATAATTGTTTATGAAGCTGAATGTTTTGTAATTAAGTGAACAATTTAATAATTTGATTGTTCATGGAATATATCATGTTGAAATGTTATGACCGATTCCAACCTGTTTCAGGCTTACTACACTGAACAAAATTATAAACACAACTCTTTTGTTTTTGCCCCCATTCATCATGAGCTGAACGCAAAGATCTAAGACTTTCTCTGTGTACACAAAAGGCCTATTTCTCTCAAATATTGTTCACAAATCAATAAGTTCTGTATATTTGTTATAGTTATTGCTTTTTTCCTAGTGAATGAGTGCTCTAATTTGATTATGATCTGTTAGAGTACCTTCTATCTACTGATTGTTTTCATTTGCCTTTTAGCATCTGTCAGTCAACTGTTGAAGTGAGAAACTTTAAAGGACAATAAACTGTTGAACGGCTCTCATCTCTGGTCCTCATATTTTAACTGATGTGCCAATGCAGAAGCTCTATAGATTATCCATCTTCCACAAAGGCAAGTTTCTACGTGCACAAAAGGCCTATTTCTCTCAAATCTGTCAAAATCTGTTAGTGAGTGCTTCTCCTTTGCCGAGATAATCCATCCATCTCACAGGTGTGGCATGTCAAGATGCTGATCAGACAGCTAGAGCCTTTGCCGTTTTCAAACTGCTGAAATTAGCCTAGACTTTCCCTGTGCTCATAGCTTAATACATTGTTATATAATTATACTATTTCTTACTCACCGCTGGTTTGAATTGCTGCCTCTCCCGACAGAACAACACGGTTGAATTTCACGCTGCATTCACATTTGGTTGAAACAGCAGCTGATATTTCCTTCGCGATAGCAACAAGCTTGCACATTCAGGCAGTTGGGAGGCCTTTTTACTTTGAAATGTGGAAATTACGTCATCAGCGGGCGTCAGCAGGCATCATCACGTGGTCTCCGAAAACAACCGAATGACACGAGTCGATGTGTGTGAAAAACAGAGATCGACAAATACAGGCGGCACTCACAAATGCCTATTTGAAAGTTGTAAATGTTAGGAAGATATTCACAAATGTGGTTCATTTATTTGTAACCTATTAAATATATTCACAGATATTTTTATTATTTGTGGAATTTGTTTTCTATTTGCAAAATATTTTTGTGAGTTTACAAATCTTCATTTTGTGTTTGTGCAAAGTGTTTTATATTTACAGATAACACATTTACACACAGATCGCTCATCTGTTCACACAAATAATATTGAAACATAAATACCCCCATACAGCCATAACCTGACTTTGTGGAATGAGCTGGTGTCTTTTGTGCTGTGTGCTAGAGACAGGGCAGTCTTACTCTGCTCTCTCACTCTGCTGTGTGTGTGCTTACACACACACACACACACACAAACACACGCACACACACACACACACACACACACACACACACACCTTCTGTTGAGCCAGATTACACATTTACACACAGATCGCTCATCTGTTCACACACAATCATAGTGAAATAAAAGTGATAATCTACCAAATTCTGAAAATTCAGAAGATGAGATATTTGGCTTTCTACGAATTTCCCCAGATCCAGGTGCAGTAGGAAAGCGAGCCGAGAGATGACGTATGGCTTAGAAACAGAGCTATAAAAGAGGTCCAAAGAAGCTGAAAGTCAGTTGTTACATGGCTTCATGTCAACTCGGGTCTCTTCTGGTAACAGAATGAGACTCTATTTTGCATCGCTCTCTGACCCTGTCCGGTGAAACTTTTGTGCTCTAATTCTGATTCAGAAGGAGTTTTATTGCCAAGTAGTGTTTTACACATACAGTACAAGCAATTTGCTTTGGTGATAAGGTGCTACATGTAGACAAACAAACAGTTGACATAAATAAATGTAGAAATATAAAAATATTAAATAAACAAATGCAAGTTAGAGAGAAGTATCAAATACATTCCATCAAACTCATTTTTGACAGCTATTTCCGGTCCCGCCCCCACACCGGATGTCTGTATGTAACTGATAAGAGGGGGTGCATCCTGTCCCGCCCCAACCGGAAATATGGCTGTATGTAACTGATAAGAGGGGGTTCATCCTGTCCCACCCCAGCCGGAAATATGTCTGTATGTAACGGATAAGAGGGTTGCATCCTTCCATTGTGTGTTTTTCATTGATTTAAAGACTTTATTAAGTAATACAACTTGAATGAATTAACTAGGAGGTGTTTGTGACAATAAATTTATCATTAAAAAAGTATAGCAGTGAGTTATAAGTAAAGGAGGAATCTCCGGGGCCAGCAAAGGATCAGTAGGAGGTTTCTTTGGAATCAAGTCAGTCTTTATTATTAAACAAGTGAAGAATAAATTGAAATAATGACAGTAAAGCAGTAAAATGGTATAACGGTGAGTAAAAATTAAACAGCATTATAAATTACCTTCAACAGCATGCAGCAAAATAAGAGTGAGTTCCAAAATTAAACTTTGTAAAATCTTTGCTAAAGCTTTGTGTGACAAACTTACCATCATTAAAGAACTAAAGAATAAAATGAAATAATTACAGTAAAATAGTATAACAGTGAGTTCAAATTAAACAGCATTTTAAATTACCTTCAACAGCATGCAGTAAAATAAGAGTGAGCTCCAAAATTAAACTGAAGTTAAACTAAAGTAAAATCTTTGCTAAAGCTTTGTGTGACAAACTTACCATCATTAAAGAACTAAAGAATAAAATGAAATAATTACATTAAAATAGTATAACAGTGAGTTAAAATTAAACAGCATTTTAAATTACCTTCAACAGCATGCACCAAAATAAGAGAGAGCTCCAAAATTAAACTTTGTAAAATCTTTGCTAGTGCTTTATCTTACAAACTTGCCATCATTATCACTCCAAAGCTGTAGCCTAGTCTTAAACTTGTGAGTCTTAAAACTTTAATCCTTCTAGAGTCTGTGTCTCCTCTTCTCTGTCCTCTCTCTTTCTGGTGTAGCATAGGCTGTGGGGTGAATTGAGGAATGTGCTCCACCCCCCGCACCTCCTTCCATCCCTCCCCTCCCTCTGTTTTCTCAATGAGCCACATCAAGTTGTGTGTTTTAACTGTCATTAGCATCTTCAGGTAATCTTGTAGACCAGTTATGGAATAGAGTTATCTATAACCCCAGACTCCGGTTGTTAAAAACGGTCTGGGTTTATCAGACAGAGTTCGTTTTCGAAACAGGAACCTATTTTTATCAGCCGGAGACAAGAGTTTGGAACTGCAGACTATCTAATAATCTGGTTGTACCAGAAGTAACGGCCCCCAACCCCTCACCAGTTATTTCCCACATGCTGTCACATACAAAATAAGAGGGTGGGCAGAGTTACCGTGAGCCAATGATAAGAGACTAGGAGGGGTTACCATAGGCCAATGATGGGGTCTGTGAAAATAAAAAGAGAACATTGTCTTCAAGAAATTGCCAAGAGGGCACTTGGATCCTTGAGCAGTATCTACCTACCAAAGAGGGGACCTCCATGCGGTTAATTTTTTTCAGCTAATGAGTGTTTGTATCTCTTAAAGACTTCTTGTTTCTTTCAAAAATGGAAATTTTAACATCAGTGTTAGTAATATTTAAACATTTCTCTGTGATCCAAAAATATTCAGGGCCACTTTATTGAGAATTTACAGTTTTACCTGTTATTCAGAAATAACTTGGATGCATGCACAAATATCAAGGATTGCAGTATTAGCAGCAAAAGGTACTTTATCCAGGGTTCAATTATATAAAATGTCTTATTACACTAGTGCAGTCATTTAAACTTTCTCTTCAGGTTTGTCTGTGGTGCTTGGTCATTTGGTGAAGTAGGCCTTTTTAAAGGGCCTTCATCTTTATCTTATTTTGTATTTGCTCTTCATAATTATAAATTAGGACTAAAATGCTCAGCAGCATGATCCTATTTTTTAAGTAATCACTAAAACAGGTTTATCAACTTTTACTAAACCTTTGGAATAATTCTGTCCCCAAATATTGTGAAATGAAATTGACCAGTTATAGACAAGATTTCTATCAATTTTGCAATGTACTTGTTTCTTCAATCTAAATTTTATAGGATTGCATTTTATTTATTGACTGCATTACAGAAACGTCCATTGTTGGCTGGCATGTAATGACACGGAGTTCCCTCTTAGTTCCTTCTTAGCTAGCATGGAGCGACACTCCAGCATGGATGAATAAAAGAATGGGGTATTTCTATTAAGAGAATATTGTAATCTAAACTAAATATTTAATTTTTAGTTACACTTACAAAATAAGGACAATTCTTATGTAGCAAAAAAAAAAAAACTACAAGTGTTAACAGCGTCCAAATAACTCTAAATGTAGTCTTTCAGTAACATATAGACTATGTCCCTCATTCTAAACTAAAGCCTTACTCATAACTAAGTCACTAGTCATGCTAATAGGCCTCCTCTTTCCCTTTAGTAAAAAAAAGCTAGAATTATAAAAAAATATAGTTTACAACTTCATCAACTGGAAACTTCAAGAGCTAAAGTTTGATCCTTCTACTGAGAACCAGCTGCCTTTTGCTAATTAGGGTTTATTAGACTATTACAGAGGTCATGAAATCCAGAACCCTTCCCTTGGGGATGAAGTATTCAAATGCTAGTTAGCTACTTTGTTGACATAACAGGACAGTAGTTTTCTGTTGAAAATAAAACAGAAGGTTATAATAAATCTCCTACAGGTAAAAGAATAAAAATCAGCTTCTTTATTTTGGCTCAACCGTGATCTGTGCTAATAACACTTATTGCACGTTCCAAAGCTCAACAGGAACCAGCAGCTTCAACAACAAAAGTCTGTAACAATATCTATCATATGGCTTTTTATTTTTATGTAATGCCCAGATTTACCACGGGGTTCTTGACTAGCCAGAACAGGATGTTCAGCAGTCTTACACTGTTTCATTGCAGGTCTTGCATTCAGCCATAGTGGCTAGTTTGCCCTTGACAATAAGGTTTTAGTAAAAAGTCTCATCACTGCTGCGACCTCTTTTTTGAGACCATGCTGTTTCTATTTTTTTTTCTAGTGTCCCCTTCCATAGCATTTTTCAGAGACACTACAAAAGAGGAAAACAGATTGCCATTGATAACCCAAACTCTGGGTTAACTCGTAATTTTCATTACATTTGTTATGTAGTAAATCTACAACTGCAAAGCAATTTAGTGATCCCTACCATGTAGTGATCAAATGCCAATGCTCTCTCTCTCTCTTCCCATATTTAAAATGTGTAAATCTAATACCGCAATACTCATCAGGATCAATCTTCTATGTGTAAGTTAACATGTTGCAAATTTTACCCTTGCTACTAAGAGTTAGTACAGGACACGCAACATAGTCCTCATTTTCCGAGCTGCTTTCTGAGCTGCTTTTGTCAAGCTTTGTGAGACGTGAAAACATTAATTTCACCCCCACAATGTTTCTACAT